GACTCCGAATGTGCTTCCCCCCTGGTCTTTTCCGTTGCTCCCCCAAAAGCCCCTTCAATTCGGGGCCAGTTGGAAATTTATGCCCCTTGAATCTAATCCCCTGCTTGGGCACTAGCTAGCGGCCAAACGGGCAAATGCGTGGTTCTTGATTGCTGCCAAGCGGAAAATTTAAGGTTACGAAAAACAAATAAAAAACATGAAATCCGAAGTATCTCTTAAAGTAAGACCTGCACTTAACAAGCGCACAATACAGGGTGTCCCGAAAAACGTCGTGTAAAATTTTCACGATGTAGGTATTTATCGAAAGCTCTCGAAAAAGCGAGACAACAAGCGTTTTCCTTTTTTAGATTAAGCCATTTAATTGCGTATTTTTATTACCAAAGACCTTGACAATAGCTCATTTATACGAGATCCGCATGTTAATTGCGATTTTGGATGCAGAAGATCCTCGTTTTTCAAAAAACATTTAATACCAAGAGAATGATAAGCATTATAAAAATGAAACCAGCTGTTTTCTCGTCTTTTCAAGGGCTTTCGAATGGTGTTGAAACCATCCCAATCCGGGCTTCCTCCGGACCGCTAGAGGAGGGTATTTTTTCGGACACCCAGTAGAGTAAAAACAAAAACTTTGGAGGAACTGGGGTTTGAACCCAGGGCTTGCCGCATGCAAAGCGGGCGCTCTACCACTGAGCTACACCCCCGACAGAGACTGTGTGCGGGGGTGGGTTTGATAAGGCATCAATCTTCCCATCCCGGTGGTAGGTTGGTAAGACAAAAGTAAGGCTTGCGAGAATAGCATTAGGGGGTCCCCCCCCGCAACTCCTAGGGGAATTTCGGCGCTGAAGAAGATTAGCTCAATTAGGCCGAGAGTTAACTAGAGCTGGAGGGCCGGACCAAGAAGGCCATGGGCTCCTAGCTGTCCACTGGTCAGTCGGCCTATTTCGAGCAATTAGCTGCTGGCTGACGATGAGTACGAGGGGGGCTGATGAGTTTTTTGGGATGAGGTCGTGACGAGCAAGAAAAAGGGACCGGGGTATTGAGAAAGTGATGTGATTGAGAAAGCCAACCTTAAAATAAAGAAATATGTATCAGCCAATTCGTGTTAATTTCGCCGATTTTTTTATTTAAGTTTGCTAATTGATTTTTCCAGCTGATCGCTTAATTCCGAGCATTTTGTTACGGTGTTTTAATATAATAGCTGCGAAGTATAATTAGCCCATATAACCGGCAATTGGCACGTTTAAAATTCGTTCCAAAATAAATCGGCGGGATGAATATGGACAGGGACGTAGCGTAATACAGGCCCCGGGGGCCAGGCCCCCCGAAATCGGCCGGGGCCCGAAAATTGCATAAGGGGGGACCCTTATGATTTTTATTTTCTCAAAAATTTTGCTGCCTGCGGCGCTATTTTTTCACGTTTTTACGGCTATTTGTAGAGCTATTCACCTTTTTTTTCAAAAATTTTTGCCTGCGGCGCTGTTTTTTCGGCGATGTTTTGAGTTTTTTGGAAAAATTTTTTGGGGCCCCCCCCCCGAAATTTTTTTCTGGCTACGCCCCTGAATATGGATTTTGAAGTTTTTTTACAGTATTCTAATAACCTAAATGGGATTCAAGTTTCAATAGAAAAACGCTCACACTAAAAAACGATCAAGAACATGACCAAATTGTTAGGCCCCTTTTTATGAATGTCCGCAATTGGGACCCAGGGTGCATGTCGTAGCTCCCAGCTGCGGGTACACATAGGATAACGGGGGGGAATAAAATAACGGGGGGGCACTCATTATTATGAAATTTGCAATTACTGAGGGATTTTGCGAGTGCCATTCGATAGAGCGTCGAAAAATATACTAAGAGAATTAATTTCAGCCCGAAATAATGTAATAGAAATTTTTTATTGAATAAACAAAAAGTGAGGAAAATCTATGGGCAGCACATAGGATAACGGGGGGAAGTCAAATTTTCGAAATTTTCGACATTTTCGGTATTTTGAAAACGTCATTCGATAAAGCGTCGAAAACTGCCCTAGGAAAATTAATTTCAGCCCAAAATAATGTAAATGAAATTTTTTATCGAATAAACAAAAATTGATCAAAATCCATGGGCAGCACATAGGATAACGGGGGGGGAAAGCCAAATTTTTGAGATTTTCGATATTTTGAAAACGCGAATCGATAGAACATCAAAAAATATACTAAGAGATTTTTTTACAACGCGAAAAAATGTATTATAAAAGTTTTATAGCCTAAAAACTATTTTTGAAAACTATGGGCAGCACATAGGATAACAGGGGGGGAAAAAAATTTTCGGCGTTTTGAATATTTTCGAAATTTTGAAAATGCCATTCGATAGAGGACCGAAAAATATACTAAGAGTTTTTTTTACAGCCCGAAAAAAGCTTATTTAAAAATACTTTTATAATATAAAAAGTTTGAGTGCCCCCCGTTATTTTTTCCCCCCCCCCGTTATCGTATGTGTACCCAGCTGCGTATGGCCCAGGGGCTAATTCGAATTGACCATCGCCCCCCGATAGAGACACCCACTATAAAAGACCGGGAATAAACTGCTCAATTGTCTCCCCAGATAGATAGCGAGGGGTAAGGCATACTGAAAAGGATGGAAGGGCTGCATTCAGTAGTAGAGCATTTCGAGCCTAGAGCATGGCCTATTCTTCTTCTTCCTCCCCCCCCTCTTCCAATGGCTTCTTCTTCTTCTTCTGAAGGCCAACCCGAACACCACCCAATTCTCCTCCCATCCCCACCACAATCAACCACTCCTTCTGCTCGGACTGCAAGGGTCAAAAAAAAGTGGTGCCGTGTAGGTCGGTGGGGGGTCATTTGGGGGGTTTCTACACGAATGACGAGGGGATAAGAGCTTCTTGAAAAATTTCAGAAGAGGAAGGGTTTTACTTCAAGCGGGTATAGATAAAATGATACACCATTCGAGACAAAATTGAAAACAGCGGCACTTAAACTAGATTATTCACAAAGAAATTCCGTTTAGAGGTTCCTAGCCCCTCATAAACCGTCGTTTAGAAATCTTTTATTTTTTAGGTGGGATACACAAGTAGATCACGTAGAAGAATTTTTTCTGATTTATTCATGCCATATTTTCTAGCTTAAATTTAGTAGGTTTAAAATTGTGATTTATTAAGCTAGCATTCCAGTGATCGTAAAAGCTCGCAGTTCTAAGCATTTTAAAGGAGGGAAAATAGGATATTTCTGAACGACATGCTAGTTTGTTCTTGAAAAATTTCGCAAAAATTAAAATGTCATATTGAGTTTCAATTTATTCAACAGATATATAGCTTACCGCAGACCGCAGAAAAGGTGCAATTATCCTGGTCCGGCAATCGTAAATCAAGTAAGAAAATTCCACAAAACCATAAGCAGCCAAGCCAATATCTTCAGTTTTTGCTACGCTGAAGTCAATGAATTGTGCCAACAAAAGGCCCTAGACTGGGGGCAAAAAAGCATTGGCCCGGAAGACACCCTGCACAATCAGCTGGGAGGAAGCCCAGGGAAGATGTCGACTCCGCGACTTTTCAGAACAATAAACACAAAATGAGGAAAGGGAGTTCTGTTCCAGTTCCGGTTGCAAATTGACGTCATGAAGCGATTAAAGAAAACAGCTTCGCAATCCAACCCTGTCGAGTTCGTGAATTTGCCTATGCTTGGTACAAGCGATTCGGCGTTTTCAAAAACGGTGCCGTTTTTGGTGGTTGCTCCCACCGGAAGGCTCGCGTGCGTAGAAATCCCTAGTTTAACACTGGATCTTGTTCAAAACCCGTTTGAATTTGAAGTGTTGGCCAAAGCGTTGTGATTTCAGCTTCTAAAATCCATTACGTAATACGTGATCAACAAACATATTTTATTACTGTTTCCTAAAATTCTTTATTAATTAAAAACGGACATTTTTTTCTCAGTGATTGTCTGGTATTTTTGTCAATATAGTGTTTTTTTCTTATCAAAAAAAAGCAATCACGGATGCTGAATAGCATGAAAGGATATTTCACATAAAAAGATCAAAAACTATGAAACGGTCATCAAAATTTATTCGCAAATAAAAAATGTCATTTAATCGAGGAATTATTCCTAATTTTAATACTTTCGACCCGTGTATTTAAGCCTCTACCAAAACTTGTTTCTAAACACTTCTCAGCTGTTTAAAATCTTTGCGTCATTTTAAATTTATCCATGCCACGATAATCGTTTATATAAATACGTACAATAATATAAAAATTTTCAAAGATCTTTCGCTTTTGTATCTGAATCGATAAAACATTGCAAATTGCATCCATTTCACGGGGTTGAGCTAAACTACCGTAAGAAACATGGCAACGTTTCTAAGATGAAATTTGATAAGAAGAGGCAGCATTAAGGGCCACGACGCGATTTGAAGAGAGATGAGCGGAGACCTGAATCAAGAGCATGGCGTCGTTCAGAGTTTTTATGGAAATCAACCCGGTATCACAATTGATGGCCAAACAATGTCGAAATTATGGGATAACAAATTGTACCTTCCATTAGCGGGTTGTATTTCAAAAATTCCATTTTTTTAAAACCCATCAATAGAAATGATAGCGTAACCGATCGTTCTTGAAAAATCATAGCATCTGCAAAATAGCATTAGAGGGATGCCCAACCTTTTCGGGGCTCAAAAAGCAAAAACCATGCCGCAGGCGGGGGTCGAACCCGGGACCCCCGTTTTGTAGGCCAGGATGCTATCCATTAGGCCATAGTGGCAAGCCACTGGGTGGGATGGGGACGCCACAAGAGGGAAAGGTGTGCGAATTTTGTGCGGCACTGGCGCCTCATTGCCACACAAAATTCCCACGTCATTTGTACTGCCCGGAATACATAACTATATATTTGCCACCAAAACCTTGGGTATCCCTTTAATGGTGATGAATAATGGCTTTTGGCCGAGCATTTGAATGAAAAGACACTTTGCCCATTGGACAATTCCCTATCTATATACAGAATTGGTTTGTTGGGATGTTATTCGTAGTGGTGCTCCATGTAGGGGTGCATTGCTTCCGTCAAATTTCGGAGGAAGAATTGGAAGCCGAGGAACCCAAGGCAGGCAACCAGCACCAGGAAATAGTGGATACCTTAAACAACGCATTAATATTTTAATAATATTTACATACAGCGCCGGAATTAGTCGCGCAGCGGAACTACAGGGTGTTCCAAAAAACCCCCCCCCTCTAGAGGCCGTCAATCGGATCGGATCGGAATGATTTTTATACCAATCGAAAGCTCTCGGAAAGGCGAGAAAACAAGCGGGTTTCGTTTTCTAAGTTTTAATCTGATTCTATCGATATTTCAGGTTTTCCTAAAAAGCCGAGAATTTTTTATCAGGAATTTCGCAATTAGCATGCAGATCTCGCATAAATCAGCAGTTTTCATGGTTTTTGGACATAAAATTAGCAAATAAAAAGGCTTAATTAAGAAATTCAACCCTCCTTGTTTTCTCGCCTTTTCGAGAGCTTTCGATAGATACCTAAATCGTAAAAATCGGAATCGACTGCGGACCGCTAGGTAGGGGGGTTTTTTTTTTTGGGACACCCTGTATTTAAATATTCTGTAAAACGCAAAACGATACAGTGGACCAATGGGTTTTTCCGCCGAATATAAAACCGAATAAAAAAATGCTAATTTTAAAATTCATTTCAATATTCCATTAATCAATTCTAAAATATTTCAACATTTTACCAACCTTCTCTGACCGTATGCGTCTGTTGAAGAAATGATAACGGCACATACATGGCGGAGAAAAACGAGCAGAGTGCCATCAAAAGCTGAAATTTGACTTCATTAAAAACCCTTAGCCTTTCATTGCTAATTTTCAATGAGTTCTCTGAAACTTACTACGCTGAGCAGAAAAGCATGGAGCAACACCTCAAATTTCGTCCCAAACTTTTTCCGTGAGACGATCAGCGCAAGAAATGCCACTCCCATCACTAAATTTTGGCTAAACCGCGAAAAGTTCGATTCAAACCTCCACAAAACATATGGATATAGAAAAGGATGGAGACGACGGCTGTTGGATCGAGCATCATTCGATAGAAAATTCTAAACAGATTTTATAAAAAAATCAATTTTAGCAAACCCAAGCGTAATTGACCCGCATATTTGTATAAGGCAGCAGAGCGACGTTGCAAATGGTAATGGTAACCCACACACTATAAAAACTGGTATTGAAGTTCTGCTAACCCCCCACCTGTTTGCTGGACTGGTTGAGTAAACGGTGAACACGGCTCATCACTACCCATTCCTGAAGGCATAACTTGTGAAGATCGATAAAAAGCGATGAATTCTAATAAAAAGCACAGGAGAGAATTAGGGGATTGGCCTTTACCTGTGAGGAGAAAAATAGCTAGAGGATTACAAGGCGGGAGGGGGGTAGTCTCTGAAACCCTTTAAAGATCAATGCGTCCGCCAATAACACCTTCTCGGCTCCAAGGTTAAGTGTTTTTGCAATTTGCAAGGCAAAGATTAATACAGTCAACCACCCTAAAAAATGTTCAAACTGTTTTACAAAAATCATTCGTTCAAAGTGACCCGTGGTCTGGGCTGTTGCTCATTAGGGGAAGCCGAACGCATTGTAACCTTGTTCCCACATGTTTCGGGCCATAAAATAGTGTCTGGGTAATTTTTTTTTAAATGTGCAAAATTTGAAAGGTTGTATTTGGCACTGCTGATGATAGTCAAATTCAGAATGCAGGGTGTAAGTGATATGAAAGTGAGGCATTAGGACGTAAGCAATTTCCAGATGGCTGCGAAAGAATAAATGAGTTTCTCCCACCAAAGAGATGGTAAGTTAGCGAAGGAACAGGCTGGGCTAGAAAAACAAAAACAAAGTCATTATTCGAAAATCACTCACTGTAATACAAAAAATGGACTGGAATTCCATTCGGCACCTAACTTATTTAGTGAAGATTTTTCGCGGACATCGCCTACGTTTGCTCGAAGAACAGGAATTTCAGACCGATTTACAACAAAAACCGTTGTAATTTTTGCAATCGAGGTCCTCCGAAACTCTCTAAAAAAGGGGTCTGTTTCCAATAAACAAAATATGGTGGGTGTCAAACGGAATTCCCAGTCTATGTGAAAACACATTACCGTTAAGGTGCTTCGTAATAGACCGCTCTCCCCAATAGAAAAGCAACACCACACCACCCGGCTGTTTTTCAGCAGCAACCAAATTAATCGGAGGAAATTTGCGTGAGGAAGTGAAAGGGGGGAAGAAGGGGTGAAATGGATGGCCGAAGATGGCATAATCCCGGGAGCACGGAAGGAAGGACGCACCGAGGTGTCGACGGGGCCATCGGATACAAGACCCTTTTCTCATTCCCTCCCTTCTTTTTTTCTTTCTCCATTTCTTTTCTCCTTCACAACAGACCGACCAAAGGGGCCCAGAAGACCCGAAGGAGACCCATACACACACAACCAGCCCCCCACTGCTGCTGCTTCTCCTCCTCCCCAAAGTGGTCGAATTAGGACATCGAATAGAAAAGGGAATAGAAGCTCTGTCCATTTCGGGGCTCCTTTTCTGCAACAGGGCCGTATACGCACCCACACAAATGCTCACAGACCTCTAAACCCCTAATATTTACGTAGATGCGGATAAACATGTTATCAATATTGCATAACGTTGTTTTGCGTGGGTGTTTTTGGGCGAAGAAAATTGAACAATGCATGACTTTGAACCGGACGGCAGCTTAGATTTAAAAATATTTGCTGAGTAAATTCTACGCTGGTTTAGAATTCGGTGCCTGCGGTGTCCATTTAAAAAGTTTCAGTTATTCATAGCATTCGGAATTTAAGCAGCCCAACCTGCAAAAGAATGGATATAGCCGCTAAAAAAGGAAAAATGGGGGAACTAAACCATACGACAGGAAATATCGTATATATGTGCAGCAAATATATTTATGAAGTCAGTACACGCTTAATAAAGTCGTAAGAAATCTTGGAAAATCAATAATTTTAATAGAATCTGGTGCCAGGAATGGTTGCTCGAACCGGTTTGCTATTAGCAGATTGGTTGGTGCTAAAATGAGAAGTGTGAGCGCCAGTGGATCCCTCCCTCCACCCCGGTTCAGTAGCCTCCTGTACCCCCATCTCTTCGAGAGCCACAAATAATGAATAATCCGACTCGGACAGGGCCCGGATTTGGGGGCTGAAAGAGGCCCCCTGGGCCACACTTCTCATATGCTATGAAAAATCTGGCAATTTGCGCCCCCCATCGGCCGTCGGTTGAGGCGTTCCATCAGCCAGCCGCGCATAAATGGCATAATTTCGAGGAGGGTTGTTGTTAAAATTGGGAAATAAATAGCGTAAGGTTCGGTTTATTGAGGACGTAGTTAATATAAAAATTATAAAGAAATTACGTAGAAACGTGCAAAAAATTATTTGGAATGCTAGGGCGATTCAAATTCAGTTTAATGGATGCTGATGGATTAAATCAAGCTCTTAAAAATCAGCGTCAAAATAAAAATCAATTCAAGGGACCACATGCCAGCTAAGCCGCAAGGCCTTTTTCGGGGCGTTATTTGAAGTAACATGAGCATCCGAACGGGCAATAATCGAGATTCGCGTTCTCTCGCGGTCTCTCTCTCGCTCTTTCTCTCTCTCTCTCTCTCTCTCTCTCTCTCTCTCTCGATCTCGCTCTTACCCGGCTAACGCTTCTTTTTATTCCTATCTCTTTATTCCTTTTTACCCCCAAGCAAGAAATTCTTTACTTGTGCTGCGATTGTAACCCAGAAAATAGCGCAAGTTCTCAAGAAATTTCTGTCTTTTTTGTGAGAAAAGACAGGAAAGGATAAAGGGTGCACCACTTAGGTCATTTCCGATCTTACGATTTTCTGATTTGAGTCGGAAATAAGGGGATAAAAACCAACTTCCAAAAACTTTCCACCGTCGCCAACTACGGGTTGCGTATTCATTCAATATTGTATCAGTTAAAAAGCAACACAGCGCACAGAAAAAAATTCCGAAAATCTGAATCCAAGTAAAATTTATTTCAGGCTTCATGGTTTCATTTGAAAGCCAAAAACCCTAAGAACTAAAAACCAACAAACAATTGCGCTTTCCGTTAATTAATGCTTCCGCAGAAATACCTAAATTACGCCTGGTCCTCCAAAACCATTTGACACAAATTATTAACTCTCCGGGGGCCAGCCAAAGGAAATAAAAAGCAGCAACAAAAAGGGGACATGAGGCCGACGCGTTTGGAATGAGCAAAAGAAGAAGAGGTGGAGAAGATGGAAGAATTACGGACTCAATCAAAAATTGGCTTTTGCGGTGTGTGTCTGTGGTGTGGAAGCGGAGGGCAAGGGTCGAGGGGGGAGGAATGAGCAATAAGAAATTCCCCGTCACAATGGTCGTCAGGCTATTCTATCTTTTAGGCAAAGTATAGTAAAATTATTTTTTTTAAATGGTTAATAACCAGTTAATTTTATTTTGCACTTAATAAAATTTTACGATTTTAGAGATCAACGAGTTATTAATTCAATTAAGGAACATTTTTATATGATTTGAAGTTAATAAATCAGCTGTTCTTGAAGGTCGGTTTCCGCTTGAGCTTATTACATCGCCAAAAAAGCCACAAAAATTTATATTGCCTAAATGTCTAATAAAGTTCAACGTGAAAGGTGCAAATATATGAAGGCGGTCACATACTTAAAAGGCGGCGACAAGGAGCAGTGTCTTTGGCGAGGTTTCTACAGTAGCCTAGCAAACGGGCGTCGATGAGAAGTAGGTGGAATGAATTGTGAGAAGCACTCGAAGGTCGTCCCATCCATCGTCAACCGGGTTGCTTCTCGTGTCCCCTAATTGGCAATCAGGGGAAAATCAGGGCCCTCGCCTTTCCATGAAGGTGGGCCCCGTCGAGCTGTGCCCATCACTTAGGACACCCAACACAACATCTCTCCACCCCTTTCTTTCTACTTCACAGGTTTTTTGGGCCAGAGGAGCACTAACATTATGGTGTCCCGTGGAAAAGGGGCAGAAGGGCCAAGAAACATATTGTAAGACATGGCGAACGTTAGCCTCGCTGATTTTCCTACTGCCAATTTATGTTTATCTATGTCAATTCGGTTTAGGTGGTTTTTAAAACTCAGCTCAAGCAGAAATTCCAAAAATTAATTATTTGATTGCACGAACGTTAAGCCTTCACCATATGCATAACTTTGGAAACTCAAATCCTACTATATATAAAAAAATAGTTCCTGTGTGTCTGTGTGTGTGCATTTGCATGCAACTTCCGTCAGGTTGTTCCAGTCGTATCTCAAGAAGGAGGGAAGCTAGGGGAGTGTTTGATACGTCATTCGGTGCGTAATGGCCTGGGAACGACTGCACACTTATCAGATTCTGGAAAAAGTTCTTTTTTCTACATTAAAATTAGGTTTTTCTAAAATTCTGGGCTTTCCTGTTTGTTAGGAATCAATTACCATACACCGGAAGTGGAGGCGGCTCATAAAAAGGAAGAAAGGCCGCCCTCTTCACTTTTTTTATGCTGGAATTCGGGAAGAAGCATGCAAATTGAGGATTTTCACAAGACCTAGACGGGGCCAGGGTTGAAAAGTCGCGAAGCGGCTTTTCAACCCTGGTAGTTTCTGAAAATTAAAAGGTCTCTACGTATAAAAACTAATCCAAACTTCATCGAGATTAATTAGCATGCACAGCGAATTGAAAATTGTGGAAATAAAAGGCGTAGAAATGTAAGCAAACCCTAAAAATTTAAACAACGATGAAGTAATTGTAATTTGCATCAAAACTTCAAAGCCTGGCAAGCCATCAAACAAAATGACTGAACTATAATCGCCTAAAAAACGTGAGCCTGAATCCAAAATCGGCTGACACGCGATGATGTGTGTGGGTGGTTTTCAACGATGAGTCTTGCAAAATAGGATTTGAACCGAATAAGTGAACAAGGTTTAGTACAACAAGAATAAGGCACGACAGCGTGAAGCTGGAGTTCAAGGCGCAAAAATGCGAGCTCCGACATTATCTTTATCGGTCATAAACCATAGGCACGTTTTTGGGTGTGACGCGAAATGAGTGCACAAAGGTGTTAAAACATGCGCCTCAGGAAAAAAGTGTAGAAACGGCAGAAAGAAGCTAATTCTGACGAGATAACTGGATTGATGCATAAATGGTTGATTTTGGCGGACAGATTTGAACATAGGCTGTGAAATGGGAAAAATTTGTCCATCTACTCCGTTTTTTCACGTTTTTCAATAAAACTTGCTTACGGTGTGACGATTTAAGC